TTTCCCCATGAAACAAGCAGCAGTACCAGCTTGGGGCTAGCTTTCAAGGAGGGGGGGGGAAGAAGAGCAGCAACACATGACACAGTATTCCTTACCCCACCCTCACAGAATACTCCAGGAAGAAGATAGGAATCTCTGTGAGTATTGTGTCTTAAAAGTTCACATTCACTGACTAAGCTGTCGAAGTACCATCCCAAACCTATAAAGTACGTTTGCAAGACAGAAAGCTAGGTACATGTTTACATGGCGTATTTTCATTTTGCCCTGAGGTAAATCCAGCAAAGTCTCTGTAACATTACTTTAAAAAAAAAGTCTGCAAATAGTAAGATCTGCATGTATTTCTTCGTTAGACACAGGACTCTCTAGGTGAGACCCCTGAATGATATCCCATTCTTCCCATCACATAAGGCAATTTGATTTCCTTCAGCCTTCTGTTTTCCTTTAGCCTTATGTTTTATAACAATTGCTGAAACAGATTATACCTTGCAGTTGTTGCCAGTCCACAAAAAATGGATGAACCTGATCCAGTAGAAGAGGCACTTCGGGCACAAATTGAAGAGGAGAAAATCAGGTTGTTTCAGTCTGTCTTGTTTTTAAAACTTTACGTTTGCTATACCTCTTTCATATCTGCTATTAACTCCTCTGAACTATACATGAGTCATAGCTCAACAGAGGGGGGGGATGTAAATCTGGCTAGATAAGCTAACCAGCCCATTATAGGGGAGTGTGCCATTTTGCTCATCTCCATAATCTTCTAGGCCACTAGTCCTAACCTACAGGGAGAGCTCTTTCCATTGCCAACCGGAGGCAGATTTATGAACTTTCTGAAAGGCTGAGGTGAGGGACCAGCACCAGGAACTGCAAGCAGAGCTTCTGTTTGTGCATGTGGTTCCCAATTACTGTAACACTCTCTACATGGGGCTGCCTTTGTCACAAATTCGGAAGCTGCAACTAGTGCAGAATGCTGCAGCCAGGCTGTTGATGGATCTTCCTAGACGAGATCACATCCAGCCTGTGCTGAAAGCGCTGCACTGGTTGCCTATAGCGTACCGGGTTCGCTTCAAAGTGCTGGTTATTACCTTTAAAGCCCTATATGGCCAGGGACCAGCTTACTTAAGGGACCGCCTTTCCCCACATGTTCCCCCAAGAGCACTACGGTCGGGGAATCAGAACTTACTGGACGTGCCAGGTCCCCAGGTCATCAAACTCGTCATGACCAGGAACAGGGCATTTTCGGTGGCGGCTCCTATCTGGTGGAATGAGCTCCCAGAGGAGATCAGGGCTCTGCGGGACCTAGCACAGTTCCGCAGAGCCTGCAAGACGGAGCTCTTCTGCCAGGCGTTCGAATAGGAGCCACCATCGCCATTGTACCACCAACGCCCCATGATTTCTGTACAGGGTCACCATGATGCGGGCACTTTGGATGAGAATGGGACGTTTTAGGAGACGGCCATCTTTTTTTTAGGAAAGGAGCACCAAAATTTGTTTATGACTGTGATGTGTTTTAATATTTTTAATGTTTTTATTGTTCTATTGTATGATTTGGCGATATGCTGTGTAAGCCGCCCTGAGCCTCCGGGGAGGGCGGGATAAAAATGTAAATAATAAAATAAAATAATAAATAAATTGAGGGAAAATACACATCAAGCCAGCTTGCATATGCTTATTGTCCTCACTGAATCTGGGCATTAGTCAGTAATGACCAGGATTAAAGTCAGGATTAGGAGAGGGAAGACATGATGATCACAGCATGATGTTCCTGCCCAAAGTGTAAAAGAGACCTAATACTTTGTCCTGTGGAAATTGCACTAAAGATTCTTTGTCTGCTGCAGTCACATCTTGCAGCCATATTGTTTGACATAATACAGCTGAAAGAAGAAGGAGAGATGGGAAATTTTGATGGGTCTGAAACACATATTCTGGGGAAAAACCATCACCAATCAGTACCAGTTAGGTCATAGTCTGTAGTGTTATCAATTTTCAGTGGTTTAATTTATTTAATTCAACATGGTGATCCAACAAGCCACAAGGCATTGTCTTTGTTTCTAAATAGCATTTCTTCTCTCTGCCTTCAATTATATCTCAAACTTAGAGGCATGTATAAAGTTGCCCACAACACACCACTATATATTTCGCTGAATGTCAGCTATCTAGGGAAACATCCCACAATACAGAATTCCTAGACAAAAGATGCAGTGTATGCTTTAGTGTGAAGCCTGCTGGGGTTTTTTAATTCACTGTACACGTAACCTAAGCTTGTGGGTTCTGTGGGACAGAATTTCGAAAGAACCTTGCAGTAACTTAAAGGGGATAAAACAAATTTTACTTTTCACTTAACATCATAACAAAAACATAGATTTTAGTAACACAATAGAACAGTGATCTTTTAAAGTCCAAACAATTAACTTTTTCTGCCTTCACAACTTGTCACCCTGAAGTCCATCTCTTTCCTCTGGTTGGGGGCTCAAGAAGTCTCTAGCTGAACACTCTGTGCACCAGCTTCCGAGATGAAGGTCCCAAATAAACTCTCCATCAGATAACACAGCCCTGAAACAATAATTCTAAAATTTACAGTTTAGAACAAAAGTCTCCCTCCCTTAACAGTTTCCATCCATAAATCATAGTTACAATAAACAAGATGTTGAGCCTATTATTAATGTTCCAGCTCCCCAGGAGGGCAATCTTGCTTCCCTCTTCTGTTTTCCACACATTCTGCACCCTTCTGCATCTAGAGGCTCCACCCCTTCCTGGCTTATTCCATTCCTAGCTAGGGGTTACATATACACAGGAGCCACAATAGCATTGCTCCCTGCAGTGTAGAGGTCTAGAGGCAGATACTTACTCTTAGGCAGCAATTCATGACTACAGGGACAAATATCAAATATATTCCTTGTGAGGCGAGATAGCGTTTTCCATTTGGTATAACAGCTAAGCACAGGGAACAGCAAGTCAGTTTTTCTTACTGTTTCCTCCATTTCTCTTCACATTTCAAACAGTCCAGGCTTTTAACAATGTATTCAGTGCTAAAGAATATCAGTACTAAAAGGATACTTTGAGGTACATAATCCCCCCCCCCCTTTATTTAGATGTAAATCTTTACAGGAATATTTTCACCATGTTGTATCAATCAGAATCTGAATTGTATCTTGAAGAAAACATACTCTGTGTTGAATAGTTGTGTCCGGAACAAGAGTGATTGTTTCCCATTCATAAAGCATCTTCTTTGTCTTAACCTATAGTAGATGTGCCTGGTTACAACTGCTCAAAGTTCTAAGCACACCGGACAATGTTTCTTCCTAGAAGTGTTGAAATTATGATGACTGTGTAGTAAACTTTTCCCCCCTTTTCCTTAACTGTAGTTATAAAACAATGTTCACTCGCTTGAAAGGACTGAAGGTAGAGATTGAACACTTACAGTTCCTTATGGAAAAAGCAAAGGTGAAACTGCAAAAAGACTTTGAAGTTTGGTGGTCTGAGGAGGCAACAAATTTACAGGTATTTTGGTGTTTTCATCTGGATTATTTTAACATTCAACTGATCACTGGCATACTAGGTGACTTTAATTGCCTAGAATTTAGCTTGTATAAAATTCTAACCTAAAATTCATCCAACACCTTATTCAGTTGGAGAGACTAGAACCAGTCTTCAACACACCAGCCCAGCCTAATGCATCAGAAACTTCAGACTCCAAGTGTACTTTGGGAGGTAAAGGGTTATGGAAGTATTATTATTATTATTATTATTATTATTATTATTATTATTATTATTACTACTACTACTACTACTACTACTATTATTATTACTATTATCATCATCATCATTATTATTATTATTATTTGTTCGACTTTTATCCCGCTCTCCCGCCTAGGTGGCTCAGGGCGACTTACAATATCAATAAAAACCAATATACATAAAAACACGAACAATTCATGTAAAACAGTTTAACTATAAATACAATAAATATAAATAAAACGGTTCAATATATATTATATCTAACTTCTACTACAGTGTAATCACTACCATTGACATGCCTTAGCGGGTCGGCAAGGCTCAGCTGGCATGACATCAGTTTCACTGATATGCCCGGCGGAAAAGCTCCATCTTCATGGCCCTGCAAAATTGCTGGAGATCTCTCAGGGCCTGGATCTCACTAGGGAGCTCATTCCAATATACTGGTGCAGCCAAGGAAAATGCCCTGGACCTAGTTGTTGTCAGCCTGGCCTCTTTAGGGCCAGGAAGGGTCAGGAGGTGTTGTGTCTCAGATCGCAGTGCTTTCTTTGGGTGACATGCGGGGAAAGGCGGTCCCTCAGGTAGACAGGTCCCTGACCATATAGGGCTTTACAGGTCAAAACCAGCACCTTGAAGTGGATTCGTAATGCTATTGGCAGCCAGTGCAGCGTCTTTAGCACAGGCTGGATGTGCTCCCGCATAGGGAGACCCATCAACAGCCTGGTCGCCGCATTTTGCACTAGCTGCAGCTTCCGGAGTTGCCACAAGGGCAGCCCCATGTAGAGAGCATTACAGTAGTCCAACCTCAAGGTGACCACAGTGTGGATCACTGACGCCAGATCTTTGCGTTTGAGGAAGGGAACCAACTGCCTGATCAGCCGAAGGTGGTAAAAGGCTGCCTTGGCGGTGGCTGCTACCTGGGCCTCCATTGTTAAGGAGGCATCCAGGAGCACTCCCAAACTCCAGACCTTCGGTGCTGGCACCAATGGCGCCCCATCGAAGGCCAGTAATGGGATCCCTAACCCCGAACCGCTCCAATTCAGGCACAGGACCTCCATCTTCGTCGGATTCAGTTTCAATCAATCAGTCTCAGCCATCCCACCACGTCCTGAAGCGCCCAGTCCAGGTCTTCCAGGGTAGAGCCCAACTGGCCGCCCGGGAGAGCACAGCCCCTTGGGGCACACCACACACTAGTGGGTGCCTTCGGGACTGCTGCTCCCCAATGGCCACCCTTTGTCCCCGACCTTGGAGAAAGGAGACAAGCCATTGCAAGGCAAGCCCCTGAATTCCCATGTCGGCGAGGCGGTGGGCAAGCAGCTTATGGTCGACCATGTCGAACGCTGCCGACAGGTCTAGCAACAGCAGCACCGCTGTTCCGCCCCAATCCAGATGCCTCCGGAGGTCATCCGTGAGGGCGACCAGTGCTGTCTCCGTCCCATGACCCGGGCGGAAGCTGGACTGGTAGGGATCAAGCGTGGAAGTGTCATCCAGAAAGCTCTGCAACTGTATCGCCACCGCCCTCTCTACTAATTTGCCCAAATAGGGCAAATTGGAGACTGGCCGATAGTAGATAAAATGTTGTAGTTAGAATTATAGAGCAAAATTCTAGATTTCCTCAGCATTTGATTTTAATGGGATAGGGATTAGTCCATTGCTTTTCACTTTTGAAATTCCCATCCTACCTATTTAATGGTTTTTAGATCCAAGAAGAAAAGCCATCTTTGCTTAATTCAGTCAGCACCTCAAAGATTTCACCCTTGTTTCTTGAAACCCAGTCCCAGCTGAGCCCAGATAACAGGTAAGTTGGTACTTTTTTGAAAAATTCTTGACAAATCAATAATTCTTAGAGTTTGTTCCACAGTCCTGGCTCCGATCACATAACTGTGTTTTTGACAAGGTAATTATATGGAATGTCAGTCTGAGATTAAGTATTCAGTGGCAGGCTTTTTATATGATAGCTAGTATTTCAATTCATCCATGAGGATTGACCCTTACTTCAGCAAATATATGGATTGCTAGGTTCATCTGTTGTTGACTTTGGTCCTCAAATGCTAGATTATCAGGTTGCCTATGAGGCCTAAGTGTTATAAATATCAGACATGTAGAAGATAAAAAACCAAGAGCATGAATAAAATGTGATATTCTATGCAGAGGAGGCTATGTATTCTTATTTTGAGATATCTGATATCACATATGCCATTAAATTTGTGATGACCCTTTTAAATTCTCAATGGACCTTTTCTTTTCAGATATTCATGGCACTTTAGTGTTATTATGAGTTAAGCCTGTTAAATCCATTTTATGCAGCTATGTTCTCAGTATGATGCATGAAGAATTTGTAATGGAGCTCTTGACATTGTGAGAGTGAACAGCAAACTTTTATACCCCACTGTGCTGAAAATTTTTCTTGTCCTCTTGCCTGTTTGAGGCATTAACATTTCAGAGCCAAAGTGTTTAGTTTCTTACATTTAAGAATATAAAATAACAGAATGCTCAATTCCCAAGGAATCCAATGAACCTGAATGACACAGTAACCTTACTTGTTCATTCTCATAATTACATAGGATGAGACCTTTGACTTGATAATTTTTCTTCAGTTCCACATCCCTGGAGCACAAAAAGCTCTTTGTTATCAAATAAATTCAGAACCAAGCTGGTAATTTGCTCTTAGAAATGGATCTGACCATCATTTTCTGTGAAAGTTGACATGAATTATATACTATGTAACAATGAATGTGGGTCACTATAATTTCAATACCTTTTGTGAATAGGAATTTAGACAACATATATAAAAGTTAATGATTTAGTTGACCCAAAATGAGAATCATAAGAATAAACAACTAAAATAGTTAACAGGCTATTATAGCTACTCATGAACAACATGTGTTGTGCACAAATTTCAGGACTGGACATATGAAATGTCTATTGATGCAAACTACAGATGATTACAGATATAACTATTCGACAAATCTAATTCTACTACTTTATAGATAGCATGGTATTCAGAATATGCTGTCATGATTTGTGGCATACATTATGATTCTTGAATATTTTTCAAGATGTAAATCTATGATCATGAGCACAGCAGGATTTTTGGATCCCTGCTCCATCCCAGAAACAGCACCCATACCATTCCATTTCTAAAAAAGAAATTCATGAGAGTGGGAAGACCCTTCAAATGCAATTTCTGACAGAGGATAAGGAGCAGCAGCAGAAGCAAAAAAGTTAAGTTTAATACGTATGCAGAAGTACTTTTAGTGTGTACACATCTTATTTGGTCCCTGCCAAAATATATGTAATGCCAGTTCCAGCATTTCAAAGTGACAGTAAATTATAGGCAAATATGTGGTGGATGATGCAATGAAATCCAATGCAAACTATCGGAAACCTAAGCAGGAAGACCTCCAGTGCTAATGTATTCTTAGAGTAGATTCAGACAACTGTGTTATTCATGTGGTGATTGTACTAATTTCTCTCCAAAAGAGGCTTTCCTTTATTGAAAAAGGCCTCCCTTATTAATAAAATTGTGTCCAAATATAAGCAAATGCCAAATTTGCCTTTTTGGTGCAAAGTATTAGCAGAGATAATCCAGCATTTTCTGGTTGGGCCATCTGCCCTTGATCTTCGACGTGGTCTCTGTGCTTCACACCCATGGGATCTAGTGTGCACGCGCCGGTGAAAAAGAAGTCCAGGCCAAGTAAGGAGCAAAGGTCCGCACAGAAGGGCTCTTCCAAACCCCTTAAGGCGGCAAAGAAGAGGAAAGTAGTGATGGCTGCACTGGGTGATGCCCCTAAAGTGCCTCCCGCTCCAACGACAGTATCGATACCGGAGGCCCAACCCCTTCGACTGATACCAACCATCCATGTCTTGGACTCCGCTGTCCACCAAATGGAGTGTCCTTACTTCAACATCAAAACGGTAGAGCTCCTAAGTTATCAAATGGATGCAGAGCCTTCTCCGTGTCCTTCCCTGTCATCAACGGTATCGGAAGCTCCCGGCATCGATCCACATCAGCACCGATATACTTCATGTGACACGCAGCGTCACCCTCCACATCTGCACAGTCAATCTGTTGATATCGATGACCAAGATTATACGGGCTCCTCTCAAAGACAGGCTGCCGCTTTGTCTCCGAGACGTCTACGGTCCAGAAGTCGATCCCCCCGAGTCTTCTTACCCCCGCCACCACCTCTGTCTTGGGATCAACAATAGATGAGGTATCTGTATGGGGCTTATCCACCATCCTTGCCATGGTTGACTCCGGCGGGCTATTCTGACTGGGATCGATATTCATCCCACTCTGCTCATAGATCGAGATCGCCCTACAGGTC